CAATGGGAAGCCAGTGAAGCTGACGGAGAACTGGAGTCATGTGAACATAACGCCCAGTCCCCGTCAGCAACCTGGCAGCTCTATTTTGAACCAATTGAAGTATCCGGACCGTCTTCAAGGGTAGCCCCACATAGAGCGCGTTACAGAAGTCAAGATGGGAAGTCACCAGCACATGTGTCACTGTTGCAAGGCAGTCATACTCCAGGTAGGGGCGCAGCTGATGAATCAGCCGAAGCTGGAGGAAAGCGCTCCTCGCCGCTGCTGTCACCTGAGCTTCCAGTGAAAGCTCCGGGTCGAGGAGCACTCCCAGGCTGCAGACCTTGTCCCTAAGAGGGAGTGAAACCTCATTCAGGACATGGTTCAATTCACCCTCTCCAAAGCCCGATCCGCCAACCAACAGGACCGCCGTCTTGTCTGGATTGAGCTTCAGTTTATTGGCCCTCATCCAGCCCATTACCTTGGCCAGGCACCGGTTCAGTACAGCCACTGCCTCACCTGGATTGGTGGAAAACGAGAGGTAGAGCTGGGTATCATCAGCGTACTGATGGTTCCGCAGCCCACACCTCCTGATGACCTCTTCCAGCAGTTTCATGTAGATGTTGAACAGCAAAGGGGACAAAATGGACCCCTGCGGTACTCCATGGCATAACTGCCATGGCGCAGATCCATAGTCCCCCAGCACCACCTTCTGGAACCGGCCATTGAGATAGGAGCGGAACCACTGCAAAGCAGTGCCTCTGACCCCCAATCCCGCAAGCCTATCCAGAAGGATACCATGGTTGATGGTATCGAAAGCCGCTGAGAGGTCCAGGAGAACCAACAGGGACGCACTCCCCCTGTCCTTCTCCCTGCACAGGTCATCATACAGGGCGACCAAGGCAGATTCAGTACTGTACCCAGGTCTGAAGCTGGACTGAAATGGGTTCAGATAATCAGTTTCATCCAAGAGAGCTTGGAGTTGTCCCGCCACCACCCGCTCTAACACCTTGCCCAGAAACGGGATGTTGGCCACTGGTCTATAATTAGTGGCCATCTCTGGATCCAGTGACGCCTTCTTCAGGACGGTCGGACTACCGCCTCCTTTAAAGGGGCAGGCACCCGACCCTCCCTCAGAGAAGCGTTAACCACTTCCAAGATCCAGATCCCAATCCCATGCTTGGAATTATTTATTAACCAAGACGGGCAAGGGTTCAATAGGCAAGTGGTGGGACGTACTCGTCCAAGCACCTTGTCCACATCATTGGGCCGCAGTAACTGAAATTCATCCAATAATTCTGGACCAGACGGCAGCATTGGCGTCTCCCTTAAAACCTCTGAATCAATAGTGGAATCCAGCTCATGATGAATCTGAGTGATTTTCTCCCTGAAATGCCTGGCAAAGTCGTCACAGGGGGCTTTGAGGGTGGAACCAGGTCTTCTTTCGGACCTGGACGAACCAGGCCTTGCACCACTCGAAAGAGCGTCGCTGGACGGCATTGTGAGGAGGCAATGGAAGCGGAAAAAAACATGACCATCTTTAAAACATGACCAAAACAAATAAAGGTTAAGTTAGAATTGCACATGCACCTTTCTGGTATGTGTACATGGCTTGTTGAAAGCTGTAACCTTGGATGAAATATTAGGTGCATGGTTCTTGGATGCATATTATCTATCAATATAAATCTTCACTTTGACACTTGAATCGGAGACTTGGATGCAAATTCCTTCATTACAGTAACTGGCTTGCCAAGTTTTAGAAAGGGCAAATATGTGTAGCCCCAGTATAAAATATCAGTGATACTTAATCAAGTTTCAAACTTGAAAAACAGTTCTGTGCCTACAGAGGAGATGTGCTTGAAATTGTTGTTAGTGCGATTCATTCTGTTCCTGAGTTGTTTTGACTAGCTTTTAGTTTGTTTTCTCTTAATACTGGTTTTAGCTTTTAAAATACATAGAAAGAAAAGCAGTTTAGAACTTCAATTTGCTACTGAAGTCCTAAGCAAAATTAGTGTGTAGTCTCACATATTTACTGAGAAACAAGTGCCATGGGCTTCATCAGGCCTCACTGCCTACATACAACATAGCTACCTCAGCATATGATTTTTTTCTTTCCCTATTAAGTTGAGAATGTTCATTTAAAGGAAGAACTTACAGCTTCTCTTTGGCACTTTAAGCTTCTCTCTTGGACCAAGAGCCAGCCTCAGTTAAATGAAAATGGCTGTAACTGAACCAGATACAGGGGTCCTGCTGTATACACAAATCTAATGACTGGGAAGGAAAATGTGTACCAGTTTAAGGCTGGGAAGAAATGGAGAATTTTGTGCATCTGCAATAACTGCCCCATTTTTGTAGATGTGCATATTTCTGATATATGAAAAGAGGTAGTACTCAAAGTGGCTGATGGGCAGAGAAGACAAGTTATGCCATGAAAGACACTGGCATATACACCAGACTAGCTGGAGTGCTGAGGGGGGAAACAAGCATTGGTAGGTTTGATCCTCTGCCAGGTGTACTGGGGGTTCTTCTGTGAACAACCCATACTCTGCAGTTTATTTACAGGATGATTTAGCTTGGTGTGTAAATGTGGCTATTTTCTTAATGTTTGTAATCTTTTAATACAGTTGATGTTAATGAAATATGGGAAAATGTTATACTTGGTTTATACTAATGTTTTAACCCTATGTGATTGCTCTTATGTTTGTTGTACTGACTTAATAGGGGTACAATTCTTTTTTATGCTCTTTACTTGTTGATTGGACTGTTTCATTTTATATAAAGGAAAAAAAATCAGTTTTCTAGTGGGCTGTAACTGTAATTTCTTTGCATTTCCACACATTTACTCAAACATACTTGTAAGTCCGGTTGAGCTCAATGAGGTTTACTCTCATGCAAATGTGTATAGTGAAAAATACCTTCAAAAACTATGGTTTTTCACTCTGGAACATTTTTGCCATAGAGCAATTCATATATATAATAGAATACATAAAGATAATGACAATGCCAGTCTTAATGTATCATGTTACATTACAGTACATATATGTTTGTTAATTTCTGACCTCTCTTGCAGGTTTCTGTGATGGAAACTCAACAAATGACCTCATGTTGCCCAACAGGACTGTTTTAAGCACCGCTGGAGCTTCAGTTGTCTTTACAGATAGCTGGCAAGTGCCAAACACAATGAAGTATATTGGAGAACAGAGAACCCAGGACACTAACTGTTCAGTCAGGGACTGCTCACCTTGTTTAAATATGTTGTTGAACCAGACCTTTAGCACCTGCCATCCTTATGTACGTTATCTTCAGATTCTCTGTTTGAACTTCACTGATTGTTGATCATCTATTCTTTAGGTGTGGGCAGTCATAGACATATGAGATGTAGTTTGCCCACAAGCAACTTTGCCCATCCCAAACATCCATCATATGCTATAGCACACCAAATAAGGCAGTCATTTCCAAAAGAGAATAATGGGTTGCATGTGACTTGTAGACCACATAGCTCCTGAAGCACAGCACAGAATCTATCCTGAACTTAATTGTGTATAGACACTGCAGTGCAGGGTTGTCCAGAGACTTCCTTTGTGCACAGCAACTGGCTGCATGTTAATTATATGGTGCTTTCAGTTCTTTTGTTTTAAATGGTAAACTTTGAAGAATAGTTAAATGTAAAAGGTATTTTTATTCATTAATTTATTGGTAGAAATGGGTTGTAGCTATCTGAAGAAGCTAACAGAAGGAAAGTGTGATATAAATGGCTTAAATAAACAAACATGGAAGATGGGTTAGTGTCATTTTCTGTAAGGTAGGAGAGAGCTGAGGCTAAGAAAGAGGCCCTTGTGCAAGACCAGGATCCCTCAGGGAGAGCATGGCAGACACCATTTTAGAACATGCGCCTGCAGCATCGTAACAGCTCAATTTATTTCCCACTAAACTTTATCAGCTCTTGTTTTTGCACCAGACTTTTAATGGAGATGTTTATTACAGTGTTTTCTGAAGTTACCAACCAATAATCCAAATAATGTATTTTTGTATGTATGTTAAGGTTTCTCCAGGCTCCTTTTGTGATTTGTGGGTCCAAGACACAGAATATATTCAGAATCCATGCATAGCATTGGCTGCTTATGTTGCCATGTGTAACAAATTTAATATCTGTATAGAATGGAGGAGTTCCAGCTATTGCTGTAAGTATGCTGCATCAAAGAATGTTATTGCAAGTTAAGAAAGCATTGTAGTCTATGAGACAGAATAGTGAATTGAGCCCAAGCTCAACTATAAGCCGATTCATATATTTGCTGTGTACCTGTGAGAAATGGCAATGTTTAGGCACACAGGATGTTTCATTTTCTTTTGTTGGTATTAAGTAGATTTGGTGGTTTCTTGCTTCTTCGGCTTTAGACAAGTGAAAGGTTCTTTGAGATCAGTGGGATAGAGAGAATTATATGTACGAATATGATGCAATTCAACTACATAGCTGAAACATGCAGCACTAGTATGGGTGATTTTGAATGGAAAACATCTGTTGCAGGGAGGTGGGGAATGAAGGAAAGAAGCCTTCCTTGGTTTATGGCATTTCGACCAGTGAGGTTTTGTGTGATTCTAGTTACATGTTTGCAAGATAAGCCATAATAGAAAATTGGTTGAATGCAAGCTAGATTATATTACCTTCAAGTGAATTCATAGCTGGTTGTAAAACTTGGCACTCAGAAATGGTTGATGGTTTCCCATCAAACCTGAGGAAAATTTTGAGTGGGTTCTCTTTTAGATATGGCATTATCAACATTTAGATGAAGTTGGGGAGAACATCCATGTAAAGCAAACACAAAACTGCCAGGAAAATTGACAGCTCAGAAGATGGGAAGACAATTCTAATCAACCTTGACAGAATGGAAAACTGAACCAGAGCTTACAGAATAAATTCAGCCTATTCAACTGCAAAATTCTACATCAAAATGCATGTTTCTCCCTCCCTCCCTCCTTCTGTGTGTGTGTGTGTGTGCGCGCGCGCACGCGCGCATCTAGTCTCAGATGCAGCATACCTTTCTTGGCAGTAGAACGTGTGAAAAGGATTTTGTTGTTGATTATAAACTGACCATAAGTTTAATCTTTGATGTGGCTACCAAAAAAAAAGCAGGGGGATAATGCATTTTAAGGCTACATTTCTGGAACTGACAGTTTCCAAGTCAGATGCAGAAGTAATGTTCTGTTTTATTCCACACTGTGTCCAGTTCTGATTAGCACACATCAAGAAAGTTATAGACAAATTGGAAAATGTTCAAAGAAAATCAGGGAAAACAAGTTCTTAGAGGAAAGGTTGAAGGAACTGGTTATGTTTAGCCTTGAGAAGTGAAAACTGAGTGGGGATAAAATAGTGCTTTTCAAAAATTTTAAAGGATAGAAGGTAGAGGACTTGTTATATTCTCTGTCCCCCAAGAAGTAAAGGCTTTCACTAATGAATTTATGCTACAGAAAGTTGGATTTTGGTTCAGCATTTAGAGAAATGTCTGAACAGAGAAGTTTGACAATGGAACCCAGTGCTAAGGTGGGGTGGTGGACTCCCCCTGCTGTAGGTCTTCAGATGGAGGCTGAACATCTTGCTAGGGATGCTTTGGCTCTGGATTTCCTACATCAAGCAAGGGGTTGACATAGATGGCCTGTAAGCTCTACTGGAACTCTGATTTGGTATGTCTGGGGTGGAGCAAAGGGCTTTGAGGGAGATGCATGTGAAGAGTGGTGAGCAGGTAAAAATTTGAGCACCTGTACCACTTTCCCATTTTTACTCTTGAGGAATGCAAGGTGTTGTCGGTGTTTTTTTTTAATATAGCTTACATGTCACTGGAGTTGTTGGCTTCAACATGAATAAACATCAGTATGTTAAATGCTTCATTTATTGTCTTGCTAGTCTTTCCCTGTCCAGAAGGTTTCTCCTACAAGGCCTGTATATCCGCCTGTGACATAGCAAGTACTTGTCAAAATATGGAGCCAAGATCACAGGATTTGGATTCTTGTTTACTACTGACTGAAGGCTGCGTCTGTGTAGAAGAAACTGTCCTTCACCGTGTTCACTCTGCCCTCTGCATCCCAGAGGAAAAGTGTGGTAGGTATTGATCTGATTTATTTTTATTTTTCAATAGCCCTGTCTTTGGATCTCTTCTTATATTTTTCCCACTTGACAATCATCATGCAATCTGTGCATGCAAGGAAACAGATTTCAGTGGGCAGATCACCTTCAGGATGTGGTCTTACATATGAAGTGCAGGGGGAGGGGGGGAGCCTTCATGCTGAACCTGATGGAGAATGCATTTAATGCTCCTGTCCTACACAACAGTGAGCAGATAGTTAGAGCTGCTACTTCCCTTGTTGCAGAAAAGACTAGTAATTTGAAGAACACTCTTCTTTTCCAAAATAAGTAAAGGGTGATAGTCTTTGCATGCCACTTGTTGCTTCATGCATATACATCTGAATTATTACCTTAGTCTGCAAAGATTCCTTTCTCTGACTGACAGTCTTGTGAACTGTTAGCAGAGAGGCTTAGCAAAGGATTGGGATGTGTCTTTTCTGACCATTCAGCTTATTTTTATAATATGGGGTGAATCCCCACATAAACATTTGCATGTAGGGAGATAGATAAACTATATAAATATGGTTTTGCAAATGGAATGTAGACTTGCTTCCAGCGTTATGGACTTCGGGGTTCTATCAAGATACTCATTTACTGGGATTGTTCACATATTTAAGGGAGCTTTTGTGTGCATTCGTTCATTATCACATTTACCATATTTTTCGCTCTATAAGATGCACTTTTTTCCCCCTCAAAAGTAAGGGGAAATGTCTGTGCGTCTTATAGAGCAAATGTGTGTGTGCCCGATGCCCGGGATGCTGCCGGCCTGCCTGCACCACGTGGCACCACCTGGCCGGCACACGCTTGGTGCACGCTGCTCTGCCCCCCTCTCCGGCGCAGGTGAGAACTGTGCCTCTCAGGGAGTGGTACGGAGGAGGAGGAGCTGCGGGCTTTAACCCGCCGGCCACACGGAGAGACGGACTGCTCAGTCCCACCGCCCGGGAAGACTTGCCGCCGCCGCTGCGCCACCCAGAAGACCACCGCCGGCACACTGCCGGCCCGGCTGCACCATGCGGCACCACCTGGCCGGCACGTGCTCGGCGTGCCCTGCTCCGCGCCCACCCCCCGGCACAGGTGAGAGCTGTGCCGCTCAGGGGGAGCGGAGTGGAGGAGGAGGAGCCACAGGCTTTAACCCACCAGCTGCACGGAGAGACGGACTGCTCACCCCCACCACCCAGGAAGACCTGCCGCGCCGCCCGGAAGACCACTGCCGGCATGCTGCCGGCCTGGCTGTACCACACCTGGCCGGCACGTGCTCGGCACGCCCTGCTCCGCCCCCCTCCTCCGGCGCAGGTGAGAGCTGTTAATCACAGGTCGGTGTGTGTTTTCAAATGGCAACCTGTCTTTTAATGAAGCCCATGGGGAAGTGATGGGGTATGTGCCTGTGATTATCAGGAAGGTTTCCATGGATCCCTCCTCTAAAAACTAGGTGCGTCTTACAGAGCAAAAAATACGGTATATCCTGCCCAAGGAGGCTTACATGGATCTCTTCTCTATTTTCTGTTCACAAGAACACTTTTAGGCTGAATGACTGACCCAAGTCACCCAGTGAGCTTCATGGTTGAATGGAGACTAGAACCTGGATCTCCTGAGTCCCAGCCTAACATCTAACCACCCAATCCTCAGTCCATAATTCAAACTATACTGGTTTGAAAATTTAGGGTCTAAAAATGCATTGTGAATCAAAAACTCTTTTCCATCCTCTGACAAGAAACTGAAGTTGGATAGTTTGCTGTTTGATGCTGAGATAATATTTGAAGTCCTTCGTTATTGTGTGATAGATCTCAACAAGCAAATTTTAAAACTTTAAGTGCTCTTTTGTTTTTACAATGATTCAGCTTGTACAGACAGTTCTGGAGTGCCCCATGCACTGGGAGAGACTTGGAAAACTTCCCAGAGTGGATGCTGCATGCACAAATGTGTTGACAATGACACCATTGCACCTGTGGAGTTCAACTGCTCAGTTAGTTCTGACTTAGAATGCCAGCGCTTTGGAGAAGTAGCTTTAATTATTCCTGATGATCAGTCCTGTTGTCACCAGAAAGTCTGTAGTAAGTACCCTTAAAATACATTTCTTTCCTGGAATGCCCTAGTGTCATTAGTTTACAAACAATTACCCAGCAGAACAAGGCATGGCAGGTTATCAGTCTTGCTTGTTTCTTGCTGGCTTGTTGTAACTGCTGGCATGGCTTCCTTAGTGTGGCTTGTTAACCATGCACAAGCCACCATAAGAACTCATGGCTTGCTTTTAATTTGTTCATAACATAACTATGTATCATCAGGATGCAACATTACAGTGGCTGCACACAGCCCTTTGAAAGTAAGTTTACTTTGGCATAGGAAGCCAAGTAAGTTGAAGCCAAAGTTTTATAAGTATCTTTCCTGTGACACACAACAAATATAATCAAACTGTAGCTACATTTAGCATTGTGCCCCTTTTAATGTTTTCCTTTTTCTTCCTTCTTTTCCGATCTTTCTGCAAAGCTTGTAATCAAAGCCTCTGTGAAACATTTATTCCGGATTGCAAAGGCCTGGAGAAACTAGCAATCTACTACCAACATGATTCCTGCTGTCCTAATTACAGTTGTGGTGGGTATTGACTATATAAATGAAACTATGTGATGGAAAGGTCCATTTATGCTAGGGGTAAACTGCATGGTGCCCAAGGCCACTGGTGTACCCCCAAGGCATCCTAACCTTCCTATTACCTTTTAAATTATCTTTTTGTTTTTAACCAGAAACTGGCATTACTGCGAAATGGTTTCTTTTGGTGTGGAACACTGTGGATTCCAAGGAGTTGGTTAGTGTGTTGGACTCACTCTCAACTTCTGCTTTGTATTCAGTCTTTTGGACAGTCCTTTGCTATGGCAGCCATTTTGTGGTGGTGCCCAGGACAACATTACCAAACATGCTTATAGTCCAAATAAATAGCCAATGCAGCTTTACACCAATAGTGAGCTTCACTATTGTCTTTATATTGACTGAGGTTCAGAAGGTGAGGATCTGGCAAGATCTGAATCAAACATTTTCGGCATAGTTCAAATGGCTTCCTTTCTACAGTTAAAAGAGTTACTGTAATGGAAACTGAATGCAGATACAAGAGCGTCCATCTGTTCAGGCTGAGAGAACAACTAAGCATTTGCTTAGTCCAAGTAGAGGCAAGCAAATGCAAAACACGTACGCTCAGAGCTTCCGCAGCAGCTTTACCTGTACATCCTGGGGCTCACAGATTTTACACATGGCAGGAGAAGTAGAAGTAGTGGTAACAGGGACACACAGAATTTCCATTTCCTGTGCCAGGAAGCAACTGGGATTATACAAAGTATTGCAACCACACCAGAGGCTTTTAATCATATAAGGCAATACATATTTGTTATAAATGAGTAATCAATCAGTCTTGGCAGCTTCTAAACTGGACCTGCACGGCCTGACTTTACTCGTGGGGATCAAACAGAGGTGTTTACTTTTGTGCACTCACCTTGGAAAGACAGTATCTGGCTCAGCTTTTATACCCCAACTCATTCTGCTGTGCCCCACTAATTCTGGTGCATGAGTGAGAGCCACTGCTTACACAACAGGGATTTAACACTTCCTAAAGGAAACGCCAAAGAGAACAGAGATGCTCATGGCTGGATTGGATGAGCTCTGCTGATCTTACCCATTCCAGAAACAAGCAATTGTCTGATGTAAATTTAGTAACATATGCAGGTACAAAGGAAAATGGGTCATGGTTTTGGAATATTTTTCTTCTGGGCAAAAAGGTGACAAACCAAAGATGTTTAATAGTCTTAACTTAACAGTCTTCCTTTGCTTATGGGCATTTTTCAGGGCCCAAAGCTAGATTCATTCTTTATTTCTTAGAAGGAAAGATTAAAGGAATTGTATTGATATGAATGGGGAAGTCCTTGAACCAACATATGGAGAAAACAAATGCTAGACACGTATCGGCAAGGGGCGGCATAGAAATGTTATAATAATAATAATAATAATAATAATAATAATAATAATAATAATAATAATAATACTTTCCAAATTCCACTGTGACATTTCCAGTCTCCTGTCAGATGGCAAAAGCCTGTGTGGCATAGTGGTTGAGCGTAGGTCCTGGGACTTAGAAGATTTGGGTTCTAGTCCCTACTCTGCCATGAAACTCACTGGGTGACTTTGGACCAGTCACTGACTTTCAGCCTAACCTGCCTTACAGGGTTTGTTGTGTGGATGAAATGGAGAAGAGAGAAGAAGATTATGTGAACCACCTTGTGTTCCATGCTACAAAAATGTGGGATATAAATATAATTAATAATGTAGCACATGTAGGATGGAGTTGCATTTTGTTTTATGTGAGCTTTTTTGGGAATCATTGTGGGTGATTATGATAAATTTATGCATAGTTTGATTTCTCTTATGAGACTATTCTGCTTGTTTCAGAATGTGATCCAGCAAAATGTGAGTCCATGGAACAGATTCCTAACTGCCGAGCGGATCAAACCCTTATTGCTGCCCATGTGGAAGGCACATGTTGTGTATCCTATATTTGTGGTATGTTGAATTCTGTTCTTAACAGCAGCCTGAAGATTAATACTGAAAATCAATAACTGAAGTTTCTGGTTTTAACACAGGTAGCGGATTTTATCTTCATTTTTATAGTTGGCATTTAGCCATAGGAAGGGACTGCAGGTGGCGCAGTGGTTTAAACTGCTGTGCTGCTGGGCTGGTAGATCAAAAGGTCGCCGGTTCGAATCTGCACAATGGGGTGAGTTCCTGTTGCTCCGTCCCAGCTCCTGCCAGCCTTGCAGTTCGAAAGCATGCAAATGCAAGTAGAGAAAAAGGTACCACTTCGGTGGGCAGGTAACAGCGCTCCGTTCACTTCGGTGTTCAGTCATGCCAGCTACATGACCACGGAGACTGTCTGCGGACAAACGCTGGCTCCCTCAGCTAGGAAACGAAGATGAGCACCGCCCCTCGAGTCAGACATGACTGGACTTAATGTCAAGGGGAAACCTTTACCTTTAGCCATAGGACAACTATTTCTTTAAACAAGCAAGGAAGAAAAAAAAGCTATTCTCCAGCAAGGGCCCATTTCTGTTCCTTTACAATGATAAGCCTTCAGGGTTGGTATTACAACCTTTATTACAACAATGTTCTTACCTCAGTGGTACTTGTTCTTCTCCCTGCCCACATAGAGAAGAACATGGAGAAGTACTTTTTCTTCTCCCTGCCTTTCCACTTGCCAATGATAAACACTTCCAATTGCCATTGCAGATCTTCCAAAAACAAATGAGAACCCTCCAAATGAAGAGACATAACAGGGAAGGAAATTGTTATGGTTGGCATGGAGTGGTCTAGTCCATGTTAACCCAATCTTACTCGGGCTTAAGAGGAACCAACCTCCATTTTACAATCAGTTGCAACTCTTCCCCCAAAACAGAAGAGCTAGCAGGTGCTACATGATAGATGCTGGCATTGCAATGCAAATGCCCTGACTGAGATCAGTGCCTTCACTTAGCAAACCCACAGAATCTCCTGGGAAATCTCCACCCATGTGCCTTGAACATTTCTCTCCTCTTTTCCCTTTCCAATAAAGGTAAGAGGAGTTTAGCTGTAGTCCTTTATTAAGTAAGCTGGCTTTCTAATACAGAGTAACTAATATGAAAGTAATTAGCAAGGAGCACCCAACAAATTAATGATCCCTCTAAATGCAGAATTACTCCTTGCCCATCATAGAAGTTGATTCCAAACTGAATTCCACAGTAAATTGTGCCTCATTATTGGTCATGCTAATACTGATTTAACAACAGGATTTATTGTAATGTGTTGAGCAAAACCTGCACCTTAATCTATTCCCCTAAGAACACAAAGAGGGCTGCAGAGAAGGCCAGTACAAGAGACCTCAGTGGGATCTTTAGCCAGTTGTTCCCAAGGGAGCAGGAGTGCTTGGGGATGGGGAAGAATGGGTTTGATTTAAGTGGTGGCAGCCAGTACCAGTTGGCTGTGCTGCACCACACCTTACATGTGCAACTGGAATGTTGCAGGTGTCAGTTCATCACAGAAATAAGCCAGGGCATGCGATTGCTCTCCGCAAGCCTTGATTAATTTTGTGACTTGCTTCCTCTGTCTTCCTTGCTCCTTCTGTTCCTTGCATCAGAAGAGGTCATGTAACAGAAGGAATCATCTCCAGATTCCTGCTCGATTTTTAATGGCAAATTACTTTTACCAGCATTACAAGAACTGAGGAGATAGGACATTTCCTAGACATTCCCAGAGAACAGTCAGCAGCAACAATATTCCACATCGCTTTGATCAACTGACTGATGGGCCAGCTGTACTCCTATGGGTACTGCTTGCCCTTGTGTGCATCCCAAAAATGATGGAGTGGCTGCAGATCAGCATCTGTACCAGTACTGGTTCCCACACCTGTCAATAATATGTGCAAGATAGCCAGAGATGATCCATGTTCTCTCAGGCTTGGACAGATCCCTGAAAGACTTCTGAATGCCACCGGCAGTCCTCTGCATCCCACTTGCTTCTAAGCACATCTGCACTGCTGAATGCCCATTTTCCTGAAGGAATGTTTCCCAAATTCTTGAGCTGGCAGACCTACTGCAGGAGGATCCCTACACACTTTCACCAAAAACTGGTGTGGTGTATTGGGAAAGGCCATCTTGATCCAAGAACAGGAGTTCCTCCAGTACCTATATAGTGGCCTCCTAAAGCTGTAACTGGGCATACTCGTAAATGCAAGCCTTCTGAAATGCAATTTCATCATTCACTGTATAAAAAAATTGTGCACTTACAGTAAATATAGATAGGTAAAGAGTTCCGTACACTTTTGTTTTCTAATAATTTAAATTTTACTCTCCTTATATCAGCCTGTGGTATTTGCTCTGATCAAATCCCTGAATGTCAAGAAGGTGAAGTCCTTACTGTGGATGGCAATACTACAGAAAGATGTTGTCCTGCTTACCAGTGTGGTATGTTGACAATTTATTAATGTCTATATTGATTAATTTGCAGTGATTTTCAGTACTATAAATGGCGAATGATGCAGGCTATTCTTAATGGGAATTCTCATTAGTTCCAATGCATACATTTGTAAGGTATCTGTATGAAGAGGATAGAAAATTGTTATGAATTGATAACAAGTGTGTACTATTTACATTTGTAGCATTTTAAATGTGCCTTAATAGTAGAACCTAAACCCGTTAATACAACTTTTAAACATTTTTCATCTAAAGTATATGCAATGGTATGTATTATTTTACTGAACATTTTAGCATTGGTCATCAGTTTCAGCAGTGCATTTCTTGCTGGGACATTTAAACCCATATTTCCTTGCATTTTTAACTTGCAGTTTGCGAAACCTATCGTTGCCCTGAATTTAAGTGTGTATTAGGGATGTCCTTGGTAGAAGTGTGGAGTCCAGAAAAGTGCTGTCCATATCGTACATGTGGTAAATATTCATTTTTATTGTCCTTTCATTAGTATAGACTAATTTATCTGACAATATAAAAGGCACTGTTGGATGGCAAAATCATTGCGATTGTAGTGGTTAAGAAAATAATAAGCTATCAGTAATTGAGCTCTAGAACAGGCCAGTCTGGAGGTGTCTTTTGTAGAGATACATAAGGTTTTGAAATGTTGTTGTTTTCTCTGCAAACAAATCTGGCAAAATATCCACTTCCAGAAATCTTTAGTACAACTCCTAGTTGTATTCTTGGTAAAATATTCTTTATTTTTAAAATGAAGGATCAAAGAGCCACCATATGTAAGTCACTTCTAAGGGGGTTCAGGAGGGTCCTCCAATTCTCAGAAATGATTTCTGGGCAGGTGCCAGGAGCTGCAACAGGGGTAAAAAGGAAGAAAAATTCTGGAAAATTCTCTTGAGTGAATCAAACTCTGTTTACGCTCTTTGGCTAGCAGCCACTATTTTTACTGATGTGTACTATCCAGAGGGCTTCAGTTATGTAAAGGATAAAAAGAATAGATAAATGCATGCATGTATTGGGAGAAAGTGATTTAAAGTGGCCAAGTCTTGGGGAAGAAATCAGATGCAATGGGACTTACATCAGATTCAATAGAACAATTATAGAATGCCTTTCCAATTCCTGTAGAGTTTAATATAATGATAGGAGGTATCGTGGAATTTTATGGAAACCCGGACACTGTCATCTTTCAGTTGTAACCCTGCTGTGTTTTCCAGCTGCTGCTTCTGTGTGTGTGTGTATGTATGTTACCATGGAGAATGCATTAAGGAAGAAATTGTGAAATTACTACACAATGCTCTCTGATTGCCTAGAAGCTGCCCGTGTTATCACCATTTGTATTGTGAATTGGCACTGTGCTTATTTGTATACATTAGAGCATTGCATGGAAATATTACAGGCTCATGTATTTCATGGTCTGACTCTTCACATTTCTGTGTGTGAGGGGTGTGTGTATGTTCCCACTTGAGGATAGTATTTCAGCTATTCAGTGAAGTGAGCTCTAATCAGTTTGTCCTCAAGGTGCCACAAGGCTTTTCTGGGCTTTGGTAAACCTGCATCTTTTGCAAAAATAAATCTGCCAAGTGATTCACAGCATTCACAGAGATGTACAAACAGTTTTCTCAATACTGGTTCTGTCATTTTAGAGTGCACCTGTGACACAATTCCTAAGCCTCAGTGCAAACTGGTAAGGAATAAATCTCACTATATTATGCCCTAAATATCATTCTTGTATAATGAAATGTTCACAGACTTTGATGTCTTTCTTGTTAGACTTTAGTTGTACTTGTCATATATTGGATTCATTGTCATATAGTGTGTTAAAAGAATTATTTGGCATATTCAACCAATATGAGGGTTTTATTTATATTTCACTGAATGTATAATTACTAATTTATTTTAGTGGTAATTTATTACGTTCTATTGTATTTCAGTGTATTTTATTGTGTTGTAAGCCGCCCCGAGGCTTCGGCAAGGGGCAGCATAGAAATGTTATAATAATAATAATAATAATTCTCAGAGCAGCGACTGCCTCCATGAACATGAGTTCCCTACACTGCGAACATTTCATTTAGCAAACATTGACATGAAGAAAATGGCCTGCTTGTCTGGGGTGTATTTCTCCTTGATTACGGTCACAGTCCTCTGCACACTTACCTGGGGACTCACTGAGATGTCTGAGTAAACGTGCATAGGACAGGGCTGCAAGTTTGGTTATTTCTGTGCATGCAAAAGCAAACTGCCTCAAGAGAGATACAACATTGTTACACTGTACAACCAGGCAATGGCTTGACTCCTTTCATTTGTGATCTACGCTTTCTAACATTTAATACTTTTATAAGATCAAATCATTGCAACTGTGATGCCAGCAGATGGTGCTTAGGTAACTCCTGAAAACAGCATGAGGCTATGCATTTATTCCAAAATAAGTCCCAGTGTGTATATGATGGTAGTCTAAAAGCACAATCCTATGGGCTTATTTGGAGTCCCACCTCTGAAGTCCTATGACTGCAGAGCAGGGATCCAAATGTGGATTCCTTTTCCTGTCCCCTCACAATTGGCCTGGAAAGAACCACAGTGGCTGCATTTTCAAGGTTAGAAATCAATCTCAGAGAACTCTAAAGGGAGATGCCAGGGGTACAAAGTAGGGAGGCAGCTGGTGCTGATTATTTATGCTGTATCCAAATGGTACCTTATTTAGATGATAAAAAACAGCTGTTGAGATGAAGTGCAGGGACTGAGATGCAGAGCAATGGGAATTGCTTCTACCATGCCTTGTACCCTGCATGGGATGCATAAAGGCATCCATGTTTTTAAGGGCACTTGTCATAGGATCATGCCCTAAGTGACTTTAACATTGAGCAATAAGATAAAGAATTGCAAATTAGTTTTTTTTCCATCTTTTGTTTTTCATATTGCCATGCTCCTTAGTGTTGAGAGGTGGCACTATAGTTGAGGAATATCAAATCAATATTTGATATTGTGATATAACATTGGTGCTTTTCTTCTTCTATGGGCAGGGAGAGAAAATTATTCTAGATGAACAGTTTCAGAACAGTACGGAAAATGTTTGCCACTGCACTAAGTACAAATGTTGTAAGTAAACCAGATGTTTAGTTGAAAAAAAGTATTAGTTTATGCTGCTCTTTTCTGTGTCACTTTTCCACTTAGAAACATGGAACTCCAGGCAATATGTTTCAAAGATAAAAGATTCAAATCAAGCCAGAACAATTTCATGTACTGTTGCTGCTTCCCTGAAGCATTTTATAAGAGGTTTGAAAGTACCTTCTTTCTTTTTGTAAAGAAGAAGTGCTAACATAATACAGCAGTTTACATGCTCACTAGTGCCCTTTGTGGCTTGTTTGAACCATAGTGAGTTGTGTTGCATGCTAGTGTGTGACTTGCCATGTTGTACAAACCCAGGCACTATGGATTCTGTGAGGATTAAACAACTTCCATAGCTCTTGGCCTGTTTTGGGGTTACATAATGCTTGTGTCCTGCTCATATAACTCGAGTTCTACTCAAAGCTGCCCAGCACAGATTGGTATTCCTCTGAACTCACCGTGGCTTGAACAAGTCATAGTGGGCGGTGGTTATTGTGTGAATCAGCATAATAGCTGTATGATAGTAAAATGAATCATCCCTATTCTTCTAAGGAAACTAATTCTGGGAAAATATTTCACAGTTCAAGCATTGTTCCAAGAGTTCAGAAAGTGAAACTTTTTTAATGGGCCAATCCATCCTTGTGAGCCAACTGATATGAATCAATGTAAACCACTGATGGATATCAGTTGATTCATTTTATTCATCAACAGCTGCATGGTTTTGGTCGAGGTTTAAAAGTATAGATACTCACTTTTCTTTCTTTCTTTGAAATAGAAATTCCCACCACTTTTTGATTACTTAAAATAATTTCACGCACTATATTTTGTGTTCCAGCAAGAGACAAAGTGTGCCTGAACAACGATAGAGGCATTCTGCTTCCTGGACAGTCTGTTGTTGAACACTCACCTGATGGTGTTTGCCACACTTCCTATTGCACAACGATAATCGATCCTGTTACAAAGTACTATCGGATAAATATTTCCACTATAGATTGTGCAGCAAGGTGCAAATCTGTAAGAAGTTCAGAATTAAACTATGAGTTTTTATTGGTAAATTATAAGAACAGTTATAAATAAAACAGTGGATCATTTTACTAAAAATCTGGGAAATCTATTTCCCTTTCATATCTCTATGATGTCTTCTAATAGGGCTTCAGGGTTTGAAAACAGGAGGTAATCGTTATTCAAAACATTTTATGAGAGTAGTTTTATGTTGCTGTGTCTGTTCTACAAAAGTAAGTACTGTGTGATAAAGTAACCTTATATGCTCAGGTAATAGTTGCCTGGATTATCAGGTGTTGGCATCAAGGGTAGGCGTTGATGGACACCTGCCAAGGAGTCACACCCCTGCAGGAGCCACTGAAAAAAGCCCACTGATGTGCTGCTCTTCTTCATTGTTTCAACCTGTTTGTTCACCTGCCTCTTGCTCTGGCCCAAGTGAGACAGTGGTGATGAGGACCAGCGCTTGTCTGCTCCCCTACCAGTTGTCTTCCTGTCCTCTTGCCTCCTAGATTAACAATGGTAAATTTAAATGTGTGTTATAGCCAGCAGTGATATTCTGCATCCTAGCACACTTCTGTTTGTGAAAACCCTGTTTTAAGCCGTGTGTAAGCATGAATCCATGTATCAAACCCTGGAAGTTATTTATGCTTGCCCAAGCCATGGCCTGTGCCCTTTCACAGTTTCATTACTGTCAGTGATCATTTGTGCTAGTTGTTCCACTAGCATGGATGGAAAACTTGTGGTCCTCTGCTTGCACTGGCCTAAAACTCCCATCATCAGTAGCCTGCAGAGTTAATGGTGTTGGATGATGGGTGTTGTATGTGAAAATATTTTGCAAGCCACAAGTTTCCCACCTCTGCGCTAGAAGAAGGTGTTAACAACATCACCTTTGATAGTTTTGCCATTAGGTTGGGTACAGACTAGAATTCTAACATTTTCTAATCCAACATAATGTCATGATGTAAAAAAATCAGGCTTAATTCCAACATTGTGCAACCCTAAACCCAACCCTTCAGAGTATGTCTGAGGGTACAGGGAAAGCTGCAGGGGTGAAAGAAATACATCTTACCAGCAAGTTCTGTTCTACCAGTGGAACAACTCTGTTGAGTTCAAGCCCTGCTGTTGTAATTTTGGTTCTTGATTTACACTATGTTTGAAAAGGTATCTTTGATATTTACAGTACCAAGTGTACGAACCTCCAAAAGATGTAACAACTTGCTGTGGAAAATGCAAGAATGTGTCTTGTGTTCATGCTTTCAGCAATGGAACAGTTTCTCATTTTAAGGTAAACTGGTATTTGCAATTTTCCTTGGCAGAGGGAGGGAGGCGCTAGGACTGAGTTTAGCTTGTACGTCCAACCAAATGACCATGCACTCTAAGGCATTAGTCTTACCTTGGCAATGAATCTGGGTTGCAGTATTAACACTAATATTAATTACGGTGAGCCAGTGTAGCATGCTGGTCAGAGTGCTAGACTGAGGATAGGGGAAATCTGGGTTCTAGTCCACACTTGCCCATGAAGCTCACTGGGCAATTCTGAGCCCGTCACTCACTGTCAGCCTAATCCAGCTCACAGTGTGGTTGTCGGGATAACACGGAGTGAAGAAGGCCTTGAGTTCCTCAAAAGACAAAAAACGCCACGCCAGGGAATGACTCTACAGTTTGCAGTAAGAAATTTGAATAAATTGGAAGGTGTCTAGGCTCTGGAAAAGATGCTGCAGGGCAGTTGTTGTGAGGATGAATTGGAGTAATGCAAGTGGCCTTGAGTTCTTCACAAGAGGAAATAAGATGAGATGTATGTGCAGTATAAGAATAAGACTAAGAATTAGGATGGTTCTGGTAATACAATTTTGCATGCTCCCTCAACGATGGCACTGCTAGTTGTGAGGCTGACATACTTGGAACTTAGTGCAATCCAATACAACCCATTCATTATAAAGGTCCCAGCTGCTCGTATTCATTATGCACCCAATAGCCTGGTAAGAACAAAATAGGTCAAATGTAGCCCACAGGAGGTAGGCGAGTGCTTTATCTAGTGGTCGAAGAGAAAGAAAAGAAGGAAGAATACCTGACCATCCTTCCCACCTTTTCCTCCAACTGCAAATAGTGGGGTGGGAAGATTGACTATAGAACAGAGTAAGATTATGAGGAAAGAATGCAGATATCCAAGTATAACTCTGCGATACGGCTGTTTAGTGGTTGTTTCACAAAAGATTAAATGAGGAGAGAGAAGGAAAACAATGCTTGCAATACTAATTTGCACTGTATGTGGAACTGTAGAAATCACACTGAGGTTGATGATGCTGTGGCTGGAGTAACCAGGAATTAATATAATAGGGGTGCAGCTGGGGCCTAAGGTCCAGGTCCCCACAGCCCAGTGGACCCAAATGACCACCCAGAAAGCAGCAGGCACTATGAGAAGATGCAAGCAGTCCCAGGACCAGCCCATGTGCCAGCATGGGCATGTCAGGACCAGTCAGGGCTGGCTCTACTTGCTGCAGCATGCCCTTCCTATTTTTGTATTAAAATATTTTTCTATTTTTGATTTTCTTATCAACATTTTTTAGTTGAGGGATGGCTGGCCAGCTATATTAATGATTGCTCATTGTATTATTTTTATTTATAAACTAAACAATCCTTTTCTACAATCAAATGGTGCTTATGCCCAAATAAATGTATTTAGCATCAGAGAAGCAGAAGCAAGCTCCATTTTATTCCTGAAGTCCTGAAGATGTTATGATTTAAATAAGTTTAAAATGAGAAATTGCACATCTTCCAAGGAAGATGATTTCAGGCATCCTCCGAAGACAGTATTCTTTTTAAAAATCTGATGTGGCAAAGAAATATTTGGTGTAACAGAATCATGAACGTAGAAGCAGTTGTAAGGCATGGAATAGCTCAGAAGAAAAACAGCTGCTGTGTGCTTCATAACTTAAGCACTATTCATGGCTCTTGAAAGGAGATGGTGATGGTGACTGTTGCACATGAGGTTCAAGGTCTAAAATTACCTAGCTACACCATTGATGAGAATTGCAGAATCTGCATCATTTGCAGATGTATCTGGACATTTTATTTCTCAGGCAAGCACTGCATTGGACACTAGGGAAGGCAGTGACAGAATGATCAGTGTAAACAAGAGAATTTATCTTGATCTGGCATTTTGATGTTCTTGTATTTCTGATTCTGATTTTTCAATGCTCAACTAGCCTGGAAGCATTTGGATTTCAAACTGTGTCAGATATGAGTGCACAAACACACCAGTGGGACCTGTTCTAGTTACAACACCCATCAGTTGCCCACCTTTTAATGAAACAGAGTGTGTGAAGGTCAGTGCCTTATCCATTCTTAACATGATTTGCTTTTCCTGATGACTTTCAGTTATTAAAACTGGAAGCACTACAGGGTTGTTGAAAAAAGGGCCAGAACATAGGGCATGGTTTCCACAGGAATGGGGTACTCTTGAAAACAGCCTTTCCCTGGTGAGAGATCTGTCAGCTGACTGCAACAGTACGTAGTTCACCACTTTGTATGCCTCTGTGCATCCATCATGCCCCTGACTATCACTAGTGAAATGGATTTGATGGCATGGAGACCTCAGATATGATGGCAACAATCCACACAGGCAGTTCAGAACTGAAATGTAGCAGTTAAGAGCGTGGAGCAGAGATGCTCTTGCTCCAGTGATTGGGTTCTAGTTCTCCCTCAGCCATGGAGCCAACTGGGTGATTTTTGGTCAATCACAGACTCTTAGCCCAACCTGTTGTGGGAATAAGACCGAGAGCAGCAGCAGCAGCATGATGTAAGCCACTTTGAAAGAAAAAGGCAGGATATAAATCTAATAAATAAATGATCATAATAAATGATAAAATGACCTCTGCAGTGAGCATTATGACCTCTTGCTTCCAGTATGGTACAGCAGGTATGGTAGTGGGAATACAGCAGGTATGGTAGTGGGAAAATGTATGAGATTATGGACAGAATTATTTGGGAACTTTTCTTTAAGAAGAACAGTTGCAAAGAAATCAGTGAATGACAGCAACATTTATGTCACTCCATAAGTTTAGAGGGGTTGGTGCAGGCAAGGTTCCAGGACATTTATATGTTCCTTTCACCTAGGCTTCCCTGATCTTAATATGCTTCTTACGCTTTTTTTGGATTGAGGTTTGTTTAAAATGAAAATTAGGGTCTTTGTGAGCAAGGGTGGGTTAGAAATAATATAAATAAATAAAAGGCTGTATCAACGCTGATCTGATATTTATGGAAGGTAGAACCTTGCTTGTAATCTTACTCATACTTTAGGTTGCTTAATGTGGTACCTAGGCTCTGTTCCTGTAGTTTAGAGTGCTAGGACCTGGAACTGCCGCTGTATTAGTATTCATTGGGGGTCTGAATTCTATTTGTACTATTCAGGTTGGAGGATATATTGTACCTTTCCTAGAAGGATGCTGCAAAACATGTAAGTGAAACCTCAATATTTATGTATGCATGAGAGGACTTTGAGCACTGGTTTCCTTGAGAAGTGTTCAAACAACTGTAAACACTGATGATGTTGACAGTGAGGATAATAAAATGCATCTAAAACATTCTGACCATAGTTCATTTACAAGGAAATAGTTCCATGTTTGTTTCGAATCACTGCCTGACTAATATGAAACTGAAAATGACTACAGTAATTTGTACCCAAAGGTAATATAATTATTTGTTATTGTAAATAATACTGGAACTGTATTTAACCTTGAGTTAAACTGCCAGGGACTGGATCTTTTGCTGCATTTCTGCCATTCACTATGATTTAGTTATGAAACATTTGCAAAAGATACCAAGTCTAAGACCTAGATAAGAGCAGGTGGAATGCAAAGAGCTGGAAAATTTCTAACACATTATTCATGCATTGAGATTTTAAATATTCATTTAATTTCATAGCCATTGGATTTTAAAAAATGATTTACTATTTATTTTCTTTTGCAGAAATTTTGCAAACATCTTCAGCCATACAAACAGCAGAACCAAACATGCATAAACAAATTAGTGCTGATAAGATAAAGAAGAGATAAAAGGGGGAATCTAGTGCAGGACACAATTCATCAGGAATGTCTATAGTCCAAGCCTCATTAAAATGAATAAGGCCTTTACAAAAGTAGTTGCCATCCAGTTCTTTGCATGCCAAGAAATTATGTATAATCATAAATTTATGGCACATGTGCCTATAATATGAAGTATCTTTTATATCTAGAACTGTACAATTTACATATAAAGGCAAAAGTATCCCTTCAGATACGTAGTTTTACATCTGGAATTGCCAAGTCCTTTGCTAGATCATCTGGTCCCTTGTTTTTTGACATTAATGTTCATTGTTACTTTCAAAAAATAAATAAATTAATGTATCTTTGGAGAGAAAAGAAATCATGAATGGGAAAAACGATCACTGATATTTTGTTTAAACACATTGGTGTCATCTTGGATCATTAACTTTGCCATAAGGTGCAAAGAAGCTGGCCTATTTTTATCTATTCCACATACAGTTACATTTTTATTAAGCCCTGAGTCACATGTTCATATTGAGTTCTCAGTTTTCCTTTTAGGCTGTAGTACTAAACATATTTATCTGAGAGTTAGGTCAATGGGTCTGGCATTGAAATAGGCAGGCATAAATTGGGCTGTACTCCGGATGGGTGAATCTGTCGATTGTACTCTCTCGCACATTCATTTAAAAAGGTTTTTATATTGTTGTTATTTATTGTTGTGAGCCTCCCCGAGGCTTCAGCGAATGGGGCAGCATAGAAGCTTTCTAAATAAATAGATAGATAGATAGATAGATAGATAGATAGATAGATAGATAGTAATAGCTAAACTGAACTGAAATGGAATTCTCACCTTGGGCTGGGAATAGATGTTTATGCTAAGAATAGGTGGAGCTATTCCTAGCATGACTCATGATGTCATGTCCCTTCCAGCTATATAGCTCTTAGAGGATGGGCCTTGCAGAAAAGAAGCTGGCAACCCTAATACCATTGAATACGCAGGATTTCAAACCAGGCTTTTAAAAACAAAACTCTCAAAACCTGAAGACTTGATGGATGAATTTGTCAGTTTCATCCACGTTCATTTTTTTCAAATCTCCTGAATATGGAGAACATTGCCAAGTTTGTAAATTCTTAGCAGAACTAAAATGATAATTTCCTCCACCCCTGTATAGCACATCATGCTACTCTGCATCTGGACCAAAATCTAGCAGAGATGGACAGTTTATGACTTCCCAATGTGTGATGTTTTATACTATATATGAGTGTATTCCAGGACAGCAGGGTAATACTGGCCACATCCAGTAAGCATTTGTTTTGCGAAAGACAAAAAATATATCTGCAGTATCACGGAGCAGGAGAAATTCTAAGTTCTTGAGGACATCAGATGTTAAAAATGTACTTTGGGGTATCTATTATGCATAATGTGTTCAATTTGTAATCTTATTAGGTTCTGGAATATCACTGTTCCCATTCTCTGTTAGCCCAGTCACTCCAAAACCTAGTGCTTACTGTAACACAGGTACATTTTCTTGGAAATCAGTAGGAACATACCAGTCAGAACCATTGTTGATTTCCAGCAATGTACTCCCCCATAATAACAAAATCCAGTTGTAAGATGCTGCATTATAGTATTAACTGCTCACTCTTGATTTTGCTCTTTTCACTTTGCCCTGTATGGGCAGTGCATTGTTGTTAGCCAACAATGTACTGTTGGTAGTAAGCATCTGCATAGTGTTTAGTTGCTGCATGATTTGTTTGCTAATTTCAGTAATTTCCATAGTGCTGTAGGACATAGACACTAATGGCTTTGCTTGTTAAATCTTGCTGTTCAAATAATGATGCAGATGGTATGACATATGTGTCTTATACATAGTGATTAAATATATGAATATCCTCATCTCTTATAAAACTTTGCTAAAATAATAATCTGGTATTAATACATATATAAAGAGGCATACCGCAAACCAGCAATGCTGAGATATGTGGAGCTACATTTCCTTTTTTTGGGAAGCAAGTGGGCGGCATCAATAGGGTTTTCAAGAAAAACTGATATGATCCCAAAATTCAAGGAATAGACCCAATAATTCAAGGGAAAAAAAACTTTCAGGGAATTACTCCCATCCACCTTTGTTTCTCTGATTCATTCCATGGCTGATTTGCTTCTGCTTTTTATGGTTCCATCCAGGTAAACAAAGATTGCTTGCTGCAACATCTGATTGATTAATAATGCTTTAGTTTTTCCGGTTGCCTAAGCAACACAGTAAAAGCAGCAGTTGAGTTCTTTCAAGTCCTCTAAGGGGATGTGGGTCTGCTTGGTATTTCTTCCTCCTTTCCTCTCTGCTGGATCGGTTTCTTTTGGTAGGTTGCATGGGTAATTGCAGTTGAGGATATGATGGTGCTGATGGCCATGATCTGCAACATAAGTCTGTTTACTCAGAAATAGATTCCCCCAGATAATTGGGAGGTATACCCAACTAAACATGCAGAGTCTCAACCTCTGTGACCACTTCCATCCAAAACCCTGCCTTCTCCTTGCCCGCCCTGTATGACTCACCACAATGTGACATCTATCCATGCTGTAAGATTTACAATTTGTTGCATTCTAGCAATATTAAGCATTCAGTGGATTACCAAGATGCGGCAAAGCTTTCATCACAGGTTTCATTCAAACTAAAGACTACTCTGCAATTTGAGAAGTCTCTGTGCAGTGGCATCCTTAGATAATAGACAAGAATAACTAGCAAAGAGAGGATTTTAGCTTGTTGCAGGAGGAAAGGTTTTCCTTTTCCTGCCTTGAGGACAGTTTGAGGAGCTGCTAGACCCAGAACTGTCACTGGAGTCACAAGTGGCTTCAGTGGCTAGGAGCACTTTTTATCAGCTTAGGCTGATTTCCCAACTATGTTCCTATCTGGACAGGCAGAGCCTGGCCACAGTTATCCAGGCTCTGGTAACCTCTGAGTTGGACTATTGCAACTTGCTTTATGTGGGGCTGCCTTTGAAAATGATGCAGAATCTCCAACTCATTTAAAACAGGACAGTGCAGCTATTAATGGGGGCTGGCCCATGAGATCACACCTGTCCTCCTCCAGGTACATTGGCTGCCAGTTGAAGTCTTGACCCAATTCAAAGTGCTTGTTTTAACATTAAAAGCCCTAAATGACTTGGGGCCAGGTTATCTAAGAAAGCCCTTGCCCCATATGTCCCTACCTGACCCTTAAGAGCAACTGTTAAAGTGCTTCTCGGGGAACCAACCCCCAAAGAAGTAAGGGAGTGGCAACTAGGAGAAGGGCCTTTTCAGCTGTGGCACCACATCTCTGGAACATGCTCCTTAGAGAGATGTGCTTGGTGCCATCTCTGACAACTTTTTGGTGCTAAGTGAATTTTTTTTATTCTCTAAATATTTTAATAGTTCATTCTGTGTATTTTTATTTGCTGAGCCAGTTTTAAAATTGTTTATAAATTGCTGCTATGCTTGGTTGTTGTCCTACAGTTGTCTTTCATATTGTTTTAATCTTACAGTAGTTTATGAATATTGTTTTAGTAAGTATTTTATGAATTATATTTATGATTTAATATTTGTAAGCAGTTCAGAGATCTGGGTAGTTTAAATCAATGAGCTTTAGCAAAAGTTACTATTTCTTTCATTTTAATAAGCTGCCACTAAGCAATTTATTCATGATAGTTATTCAGTAGAGAGCATGAACAGTTGTGCCATAATAATATGCATAGTGTATCAGTTAGAATTTGTAAATTATTTGCAGAAACATATTAGGATTACCCCTGAAATGACTAGTAAATGGTAAATGGTGCTGAAGATAATGTGTATTCATTGCAAAGGCAAACATGCCTTTGGTAGTTCTGCGTTCTGTCAGGAGGAAGGCAAGGAAGAGGCAGGCCTGCCAGTAGAAATAGCTGCAGTTTCAGAATCAGCATGTTCGCTTGACTTCAGTGGGACATACTTCTGAATAAATGGCATTCATGTTGTGGGACCATGGCCATTTGCACCATCATTCCCTCAGCCACATTTGGCTGTGCCACAATCCCCAAAGTAGGCTAATTCCTCCCTTCTCTTCCTATATGAGAAAGAGCTGCAGCCTCTGTCTACTCCTACTGCATCCATATGTGCTCTTTGCTTCCTTGCCTCCATCTCTGTTTCACACCTGACCTTCTCTGCCAGCTGTGGATGCTCAGAGGTACTTTGCAGCTCTCCTCTTCACAAAGTCACCCTCAACAAAGAGAGGGGGATGGGAATATGCAAGGAGAGGGTAGAACTCGTTTGCTGTACCGCCCCATGTTGTGCATCCCAATGTAGGGATGTAGAGCAATGGCGGCTTTTGCTTCTGTGGCATTGTGCTATCCCTGGACACCAGGACATGATGTGTAAGGCTCATTGCATTAGGTCTTTACAGCACAATGCTCAATTACTTACACTGAAGATCACCCTGAGTTAATTCATGCGTATTTAGCACTATAAATGTTGATATGTACACCCCACATTGACTTACATATGTAAACAGCATCATAGTTGTATTGGCTTCAGCTGGATTAAGCCACTTTCAGTGTGGTATTCTTACTTCTGGGGTGGGATAGAAAGCTACTTCTTTTCCCCTTGAGAGTTTACTTCAGTTCTTTGGGCTAGACACATTTATACTTATAAGGTTACTTTAACATCAACTGCTTCAAAAGTAGGAGATTGGATTATGGTCCTGAATTCTTACTTGAAATGACAAATACAAAATAACTCCTTAAATATATTTTTTATTCAGTTTTCTGTCTCTTTGGAAAGAGGTTTTTATACTGCTGCCTGACAGTCACTTGGCTGGTACAAGGTCCACTCATTTCAATAGCAACTGAATTAGAATAATCCCTTGTGAATATGTCTTTATCTCCTTGGACATACAGATTCTTTTTGAAAATTCAGTTGCCTTTATAGTGTTTCTGATATTTAGAACATTTTTAAAGGCAGACATATAAGGACTTCAGTAGCTGCTACTTGCTTTTTTATTCTTTGTCAAGGATATGCTTGGCAAATGCTTACAGAGCCTTTTGTGTGTAAAAACTGAGGAGTTGATGTTTTCCACACAATTCATTCTTTGCAGGTAAAGAAGATGGGAAATTCTGTAAAAAGGTGACCGTAAGGATGACAATACGCAAAAATGACTGTCGAAGTAACACACCAGTAAGTAAAGAGACAAAAAACCAAACTGCTGTTTGTACTTTTTTCTGATGAAAGTTTAGCATTATTGCTGCTTGAAAGCCATGCATTGATCGAACACCTATTTATTCAGTTATTTTTGTGCATATTTCCAGGTAAACATTGTTTCCTGTGATGGAAAGTGCCCTTCTGCAAGCATTTACAACTATAATATCAATACATATGCAAGATTCTGCAAATGCTGCAGGGAACTTGGACTGCACAGGCGAAATGTGCAATTATATTGCAGTGGCAACTCAACCTGGGTCAGCTATATGATTCAAGAACCCACAGACTGCTCTTGCCAGTGGTCATGAAGCACAGCTAAAAGAAGTCAGTGCGCTCTGCATCTTTAGATAAATATGAACCAAATATTGTTACCCTCTAGCAGGACAGTTAACAGAAAGTTCAGAACCACCTTACAAATATCACTGTTGGGGTCTGAACCATTCTGCTTACAAAATGAATTTTCAGCAATAATCTTACATTTTTAGAACACAATTCCACAACGATCTGTGCTCGCTTGGAATCCAATTAGTCACTTATGCAAAACAATTGGTCACTTACACAAGAGATGGTGCAAGTGGTCTGCTTATGTGAGCAGTGTAATGTGCGAAGAGAGAACTCACAATACAGTGGGAGTAAGCAATAAACAGGGAAGCAGGCATTTTCAAACTTCCTTGTTTGTGTAAGTTATTCTTTTTTCACATTACATTTTTCAGATTAATAGACAATGTGTTAAATGTATAATAGGCGGCTTGGAAATACCTTGGAAAATGGAATACATTGCTCTTACTGTTCTAGTTCTTGGTGGTCCTGGATGAGGATGTCCCTTCCTCTGTGTATTCAAAGATGTGTACAGCCAGTTCAGTTGGGGTAGACAAGGAATCCCTATCCAGTAACTTTGCCCACGGAATGCTGCTGCGATCCCTCACTGCGTTGGGGCAGATCGAGCTACTTTCAGCCCATAATGCTTTTATTACTGCACTTTTATTACTAGTCCTTTTATTTCTTATCAATTATTGTCCTTAAAAGAAAAAGGTTTGCCAGATGGGGGCCTCATTCTCAATTTGCTAATGTTAAATTCTTGTGGTATGTGCCAACTTCCAAAAGAAATGTGGTTGCCATTCAAAGAGGCCAAGGGACAGTTTCTTCCATACCTCTGAGGAAGTCTGATGGATTCTGTGTCATTTACTCCACCACTTTTAAAAGACTTCTATGTTCAAGTGGTGTAAGGTCCTGAATACATTGCAGTATAAATGTATACGCACTGGATGCATGAGGCAGAAAATTGTCCAAAAGTTATTGAAGGCTATTCAGTATAAAAAACCACAATGCATAAGAAAGAAAATTATATCATTATAGGTGTTCATCAGGGAAATATTTTCAGTGTCAATAACTGTGTATATAAATGTATTCCCTGGTATTAAGTATGATTTAAATATGTTCTATCATATATGAAAGCATATTGGCCATTGTTCAATTTAAATATCAGAAACAGATGCATCTTACATTTATCAAGTGAAATCATAATTGCATTTTATGATAAATATTTTGTCTTCTAAGTATAAGTGTGACCTTTGTGAATATATTAATAAGAAAAGCCAGAATTCATAAAATTAAAGTGTTTTTTATGTGGAGCATGGGAGGAGTTGTTAATTTTTCCTTCAGAGTATAATATCATTGCATTTCAACCTGCTTTTTATACTTAACAGACTTTCAAAAGCAGTTTCCCTTGTATTATAGAAGGCTACTAGTCAAAGAATGCAATCTGAAGTTGAAAGTACTATTGGAATACTCAAGAAATTAGATTGTGACTATAGATTATGACAACCATAGGTTTAAAATCAACAGAAGAAATGTAGTATCATCACACTTAAGATTCTATTTGATCAAATATATTACTTGCCATATTTGATCATGGTAGTGTTCTATCAAATATATTTTATGAAATCAAGGCAAATAAAATTATGCGCCAGAACTTCATATTTTTGTTTAAAATAGTCTTGTTTAAAATGTTTACTTTGCAAAGAAACTTTCTGAACTTGAAAAAGGCTACAGTTTCTGAAACAAAGAATGAAACAAAAATTCCAAAATACCATGGTCCTAAATACATGATATTTAATATTTCAGCTTCAGCCTCGATGAGTGGAGGCCAAGCCTGGTGGACTGCTGCTTCTTCTTTCATGGAATCCAACACTGCACCACTGCACATATTTATGTTCCAGACTGTACCATCATTGTCCCTGACTGTACCAGTCATTGTTTATTACCTGGTGACATGCAGATGGAGTTCCAATTCACCACTGATGGATTCCGAACTTTCCTTTGAGAACTCATGACACCTGGGTTTGTTTCCTACAGTTAAGTGAAAACATATATTAAGGCAAAGGGCACATTGAGGAAATGAAGTTGCTATTGATTTTTGCATACTTTGCATGTTGTTCACATATTTAATAATCGGGAAGACCAGTTTTTATGCAGTTAGTATTTTCTTAGGGCTTTAAATGTTAGATGTAACAATACTTCTGTATATTTCATTTATATTATGTTGCACCACTTTTAACTGAGTTTTTGCAATACAGCTGTGCACTGCTGAATTTTGTAAAAAATCAAATAAAAGGGTGTTGTTTTTAATTCTAAGCCATCTTTATAAATTGCTCATGCCAACATTTGCAACATAAGCAGTTATAGTTTATACTAAATAGTAAACATTTTAAACATCCTTGGCTTTCCACAGTACTATTTTTCTGTCCCTGAGGCTTCAAGCAGTGATTCTGTAAGACCACACGCAGCTTTGTTGCATGACGCAATGATTCATGATGGGTAGTGTGCCATGGTGGCTTGTATCATCCCAACCCAAACTGTTTTCCTCAGGGTGTCCCCTACAAGCCACCCTGAGAACCTATAGTCTGTTTGTAGGGTTTATGACCATTCCAATCATGGGTTGTGGGCAAGCAAGTGTGAAAAAAACCATGTGTGAAAAAAATCGTTGATACTCTTAACTAAGCTTGCTTCACTGATGCCTAATTGGTATCATGGAGTAACTATGATTGGCTCAATGGCCCTGCCCATCTTGGTTGGGAACCATGTTGGCCCACCACAAGTCGCCTTCTGATTTTTGACTCATCCTGCACCTCAGATGGCTTTTCTTGATCTCCATATTGATAGCCCCTCCAAAATGGCCAAGGATCTGGCACTTTTATTTTGTGGTGCAAAGGTGCACAAATAGTTTCTATAATTCATATTTTTTAAAAAATGCCACAACTGTTCAATTTTGGAGGTGCAGTTGCATGTATTCAGCAGGTACAAAAAGTGGAAACTTTGCCTAGATAATGTCTTTGGAGATACAGCAATTAACTACATACTTAGAGGGTCTCCAATTGCAATTTGTTTTCTCTTGTTACCTGCCAAAGGTGAACTGTCAATTCAAAGCAAAAACATGAGTGATCTTTGCTTGTGAAAAAGAGGTGGGGGAAATTTATCTCCCTTTGTCCTTGGTCCTCAGAATTTTTTGTGTTCTCTTTTCTGAGTTTGTGAGATGATAAATACTTCAGCCATATATTCAGAAGGATCACTCATATTTTTGCTTTGAATTGACTGCTTTACTTTTAAGAGCTGTCAAGGCACAGCAAAGTAAAACCCATCCACCCTTTTGGGGGCACCATAGTTGGTACAGGCTATAATATGACAGCAAGTACCAAAAATAGGCTTCCTATGTTTGCCCCTTTGGAACTGTGCAATACAGCCCAAAAATAAATTGATAAAATACTTGCACATGTAAGGGGTGCAAAAGGAGAGCAACCAACCACTGACAGCCCTTTCAAAGTGCTACTCAGGTACTTGTCACGAGCAGTCAGCATGGAGATCATGAAAAGTAATTGTGTAGAGAAGGTAAACAGAGCAGCATGCCTAGTCAAAATGGCTCTTGATCATGGTGGGGACAGTGGCTTGTGCTGCAGAGTTCCCTGGGATGTTGTCTGGGAGACCAAAGGGGAAGGAGGGGTGACAGGCCACGGTGAGCTGAATCATCTGTCCAGCATGCATAAGTTCCTGCACCAACCAACCCACCATGGCCCATTTCAAAGGCGGGCCTGTGTGAAATGTGGACTACCCAATTTATAAAATTAACCAAGAACACAAAGATAGGAGACACATTTGGATGCTGCCTGCCTCAACGCTCTCAGATTTTTGTCTCTAGTTATTGTCAAAACCAGTTCACCCCGAAGAAAACACTTCAAAGGTTATATTTTTCACTCACATTTAGAAACTGGTCAATGGAGATTTTATTCTCACAAGACGAAGGTATGATGAGAGGCAGTTCCTGCAAAGCACATGGAATCTTCTCTGTAATGTTTGTGTCAAATACATTTGCCATTCTTGACATGGTGTGTGACTTTCCTACATGCAAATCAAGGAAGTATTATTCCAGAAATGTCTTTTCATGGGGTAGAAGCTTTTGTCTATTGGATAAAAAACACAGCTTTTTGTAATCCTGGTAGCTAGAACAGAAACAGACATAAAGAGATGACTATTGTGTTAATCATGTCAGTCTCTGCTCAAGATAATGGAAAACGCTTAGCAGTGAACATGGTGTTGATTCATGTAAATGTCGGAGTGTCGCAGTAGAGGTCTTAGTTACTGCTAAGCAATAGCAGATGGTTAGCAGGACTGTTTAATTTGACAGCAGCAGGCTCTGTGTTGAGAATGAGGAATGGTTTAACTGTAGGGCCAATGTCTCTGTGTGTCCATGATTATCTTCCAGTTAGGAGAGGGTGAAATACAAATAAATTGAACTATTACAAATGTGGTCTTCCAAAATGCAATTTGTTCCACATTTCATGTTTTAATTACAATAAAAGCTTAAAGAGCACTCCTGCTCTTGATCTCTCCTTCCTAATCCCACAGCTGTGTTATCTAAGCTCTATTCCCCCTTGGCAGCAGTATTGTTGACTCCTTGCTTCCTAAGTTCCTAAAGAAGACAGACAAGTCCTATTTTGAAGTGAACATTTTGATCAGGCCCTAACAGGCCTGCTCTCTAGCCTTAGAGACATGTGCTTCCACAGGGCTGCTTCTGAAATGTAGCTGGATGTGGCCTCAGCAGTATATTCCTCCATTTGGAGCAAAAGGGCTGCTAAAATGTCTGGCATTCCTTCAAGGACAGTGTCTGAGTCAGGAAACTAGTATCCTTTGCATTACTCATGCTGTCTGATAGAGCTTAAAAAAAGACTGGCATTAGATGCAGGCAGGCAGCAATGTTGGTTCCTCGGGGGGGGGGGAATCTAACAGTAATAATAGCATCATATTTTTATTAGGA